ACCCCCAAGGGCCCCAGTCCTAGGATCCCCCAGAGCACCATGCGCAGGAGAGCCTGGCCTCTGCTCCAGGGAACCCCAAGGGCCCCACTCCTAGGATCCTGGAGCTGGAAGGGCCCCCAGAGGTCATCTATACAGATAAAGGATTCCCAAGAGATGATGCCCACCTCACTTCCATGCCAAGACTTCCAAAGATGAAGAGCCCACCGCCCTCCAATGCTCTCATAGAATCGTAGACTAATACAATTGGAAGAGACCACATGGGTCATCCAGTCCAGCCCCCTTCTGCCATGCAGGAAAAGCACAAAGCCCTCCTGACAGACGGCCATCCAGTCTATTTCTTTAGAGATAGAAGGGAACCCCAGGGTTGGCCATCTAGTCCAACCCTTCAGTCATCCAGAGAGAAGCCCACTCAAAAAGGGTCTGGAGAACAAGCCCTACAAGGAGTGGCTTAAAGAGCTTTACCTGGACTCACACTGTGTCCCATTCTGGGCACCACAATTGAAGGGAGAGGTTGACTCTAAGCTAGAATGTGTCCAGAGAAGGGCAACTCAAATGATCAAGGGTCTGGAGAACAAGCCCTATGAGGAGCGGCTTAAAGAGCTTTACCTGGACTCACACTGTGTCCATTCTGGGTACCACAATTGAAGGGAGAGGTTGACTCTAAGCTGGAATGTGTCCTGAGAAGGGCAACTCAAATGATCAAGGGTCTGGAGAACAAGTCCTACAAGGAGCGGCTTAAAGAGCTGGGCATGTTTAGCCTGCAGAAGAAAAGGCTGAGAGGAGACATGATGAGGGCCAGGGATCAATATGTGAGAGGAAGTCATAGGGAGGAGGGAGCTTGTTGTCTGCTGCCCTGGAGACAAGGATGCAATGAAGCAATGGCTTCAAACTACAAGAAAGGAGATTTCATCTGAACATTAGGAAGAACTTCCTGACTGTGAGAGTTGTTCAGCAGTGGAACTCTCTGCCCCTGAGTATGGTGGAGGCTCCTTCTTTGGAGGCTTTTAGTTAGAGGCTGGATTGCCATCTGTCAGGGGTGCTTTGAATGCAATTTTCCTGGTTCTTGGCAGAATGGGGGTGGACTGGATGATGGCCCACCAGGTCTCTTTCAACTATGATTCAATGAAATGTCCACCAACCAGTTACCTAGGCCACCTGTTGCTCTTAGAATTAGAAGGAGATCCCAAGGGCCAACCACCTTCAGCCATATGGGGATGCATATTGGGAGTAGCCAAGAGATGCTCATCCAACCTCTTTGCAAAGGCCTCCAAAACAGAGAGCCCACCACACTCCAAGATGGTCACAGGATAGTAGAGTCGGAAGAGTCATCTAGTCAAGCCACCTTCTGCCATGCAGGAAAAGCACAAACCACCCATGACAGATGGCCTTTAAGCTGCCCACTCAAGCACCCTTTGATGGAGAGTTCACCAATCAATCACCAAAGAACAGGAGGGGGATCCCAAGGGCCATCTAAGCCAACCTCCTCCAGTCACATGGGGATGCCCAGCTAAAATACTCCCAAAAGATGCCCATCCAACCTCTTTGCAAAGTCCCTCCAAAATGGAGAGACCACCACACTTCAAGGTAGTCATAGAATGAGAGGGTTGGAAGAGACCATATGGGTCATCCAGTCCAACCCCTTCTGCCATGCAGGAAGAGCACAATCAAAGCTCTCCCAAGAGAGAGCCAGCCAGTCTGTTGCTGTAGAGATAGAAAGGGACCTCAAGGGCCAACCCTTCAGCCATCCAGAGAGATGCCCATTCAAACACCCTTCAATGGAGAGCTCACCAATCAATCAGCAAGGAACTGGAAGGGGATCCCAAGGGCCATCTGGTCCAACCTCCTTCAGCCATATGGAGATGCCCAGCTAAAATACTCCCAAAAGATGTCCACCCAACCTCTTTGCAAAGGCTTCCAAAACAGAGAACCCACCACACTCCAAAATGGTCATGGGATAAATAGGGTTGGAAGAGTCACCCAGTTCAGTCACCTTTTGCCATGCAGGAAAAGCACAAAGCATCCACAACAGATGGCCTTTAAGCTGCCCACGCAAGCGCCCTTCAACCCAGAGTTGACCAATCAATCGCCAAAGAACTGGAAGGGGATCTCAAGGGCCATCTAGTCCACCCTCCTCCAGTCATATGGGGATGCTCAGCTAAAATACTCCCAAGAGATGCCCATCCAACCTCTTGGCAAAGGCCTCCCACCACCCTCCGAGGGAGTCCACATGCCACTATTGACCAGTCAAGATGCCCCTCCTTATGGACTCTGCTTTCTATTAGTTCACCTCATCCTAAACCTGAAAGGGAAGCCAGGGGTCAGCTAGTCCAGCCCCTTCCTGCCCTTCCGGAAGCCAACGTCCGAGACCTCTGCCCCATCCAGGCCAAGCAATGGAGGAGGGCTGTCGTGTCGTTTTGGGAAGAGGTCTTAACCTGGATGAGACTTCAAAGAGGAGACAAAGTTCACTTGAGAGGGACATAACGGCCTCTCTCCTTACTGGAAGGTGAAAACAGGAGTTGACCAAACAAAGGCCTGAAAGTATCCTTGGAATGTGCTGCAAGGAAACCATTGATGAGGGGTTTTTTTTCCTGCAGAAGGAGTAGCAAAGGCAAACCAGCCTCAGATCCAGGGAGATTTGGGTTGAAGGGCTAGAGGAAGACAGGGCGATTATTAAGAAAATTAGACAATACACTCGGGAAGAATGTCCAAGTGGGAAATATTAGGATTTGTCCTGAGAAGGGTGACCCAACGGGCCAGAGTCCTTGAAGAACTATAACTCCCTCCAAAGGCTGGAACCAGGTGGCAGATCTACTCCCCAAAGGTCTCATGGAATGACCACATCAAGTCCCCAGGTCCTGGGGCTCCAGAAGGATGAAGAAGCGATGGTGGGAGCAGCACAGCAGCAAAAGGCTCAGTTTGACAATCAGCTGTTCTTCTTTAAAATATATTCTCAAAAATAAAAAAAGGTTATTCCCAGAGCGTAGGAGCCCGATATGCAAAAAGCGAGATAGCAGATAGTGTTAGAATTGAGCTAGGAAAAATATGGCACCAAAATGGAGTCGTTTGGTTAACTCGCGGATACGGGGGCCCGAGGGGTTTCCGTATCCGCGGTTTAAAGAAACGCAGATTCAGTCTTCCTGGGATGCCTGGAAGGCATCCCAGGCGGGCCGGCGGCTGCCCGCAGCCCAGAAAAGGATAAATTCATGCATTAGATACTTGTGAGCCATGAAATAAACACAATGTATCACTATGAAGAAGTGAAGGTTACAATTCAATTAGTCTTTATTAGTGGTTTTGTTACAATGTTTGGGCTGAAGAGAAAAGCAAAAGGAGGGAGCTCAAGGTTGCAAAGAGTCCCAGGTTGAGGCTGCTGCTGGGGCACATTTCATCAGAGTTGACCCAACGGGACATTCAGGAACTCCGGAACTCCTTGCAGCTGGTCAGATCAGCTGGAAAGCAGGGGTCTGGGGCAGATTCGGCACCATCAGTCCCACTTCAGAAATAAGGAGAACTACCGAGAAGAGGCATGCTGGGAGGTACCTGCACAGCCCCTGAGGGCTTGGGTTGTGTTTCCACGCCAGGCAGAAAGGGGTGGGTTTGGATGGCCTTTGGGGGTCCCTTCCAACTACAGGATTTTAGATTTTCACCTTCAGAGATGCTTACAGGGAGGATAGGTGGCCATCTACCAAGAGGGCTTGGGTGGTGCCTTCCTGCCTGGCAAGAAAGAAAGAAAGAAGGAAAGAAGGAAAGAAAGAAGAAATAAAGGAAGAAAGGAAGGATGGAAGGAAGGAAGGAAGGAAGGAAGAGAGCAACAAAGGAAGGAAGGAAGGAAGGAAGGAAGGAAGGAAGAAATGAAAGAAGGAAGGAAGAAATGAAGGAAGGAAGAAAGAAATGAAGGAAGGAAGGAAGGAAGAAATGAAGGATGGATGGAAGGAAGAAAGAAAAAAAGAGGGAAAGGAAAGAAGAAAGAAATGAAGAAAGGAAGGAAGGAAGGAAGGATGGAAGGAAGGAAGGATGGATGGAAGGAAGGAAGGAAGGAAGAAATGAAGGAAGGAAGGAAGGAAGGAAGGAAGAAATGAAGAAAGGAAGGAAGGAAAGAAAGAAGAAAGAAATGAAGGAAGGAAGGAAGGAAGGAAGGAAGGATGGAAGGAAGGAAGGATGGATGGAAGGAAGGAAGGAAGGAAGGAAGGAAGGAAGAAATGAAGGAAGGAAGGACAGAAGGAAGGAAAGAAGGAAGGAAGGAAAGAAGAAAGGAAGGAAGGAAGAAATGAAGGAAGAAATGAAGGAAAGAAGGGAGGGAGGGAGGGAGGGAGGGAGGGAAGGGGTTAGACTGGGTGGCCTTGAGGGGTCCGTCCCAGCTCTATAAACCCAATGGGGTGGGGTGGGGGTGGGGTCTGGTAGTGTGGAAATGTGGAGGTTCTCCTCCAAGGCTGCCCCCTTAGTGGTCGGCTTCCTGGAGTGGGAGGGGACCCCCAGAGGCCATCCACCCGGGCCCCTTTTCTTCGTGGGAGGCGGGAGGAGGGGCGAGGTGTCCCCGCGTGGGCCTCCCTCCATCCCTCCCCTCTCCTCCTCCTCCTCCTCCTCCTCCTCCTCCCTGCGTGTGTCCTTCTCGGGGCTTGTCCCTACAAGGCGCGGCTGTGTCCACGGCGGCGGGGCAGGTCCCGCCCCCCGGGTTTTTAGGCTTTCCCCGCGGCCCCTCCCGGCCCACTCCTCGGCTTCTCCTCCTCCTCCTCCTCTTTCTCCTTCTTTCTTTCTTTCTTTCTTTCTCTCCTTGGTGTGTCCGCTCCGTCGGGGCTTCCCCTCCTCCTTCCGCCGCCATGGAAGCCATCAAGAAGAAGATGCAGATGCTGAAGCTGGACAAGGAGAACGCCATCGACAGGGCCGAGCAAGCCGAGGCAGACAAGAAGCAGGCCGAGGACCGGTGCAAACAGGTGCCCCCAGCCCCACCCACAGCCCCCCGGAGGGATGGGATGGGTGGGTGGGTGGGGGGATAGATGGAGAAGAAGATGGGCGGGTGGATAGACGGGGAGGAATGAGGGATAGATAGATAGATAGATAGATAGATAGATAGATAGATAGATAGATAGATAGATAGATAGATAGATAGATAGATAGATAGATAGATAGATAGGTAGGTAGGTAGGTAGGTAGGTAGGTAGGCAGGCAGGCAGGCAGGCAGGCAGGTTGGCAGAGGAGGAAAAAGCAGGAAGAGATAGATAGATAGATAGAGAGAGAGAGAGAGAGAGAGAGAGAGATAGATAGAAGAGGGAGAGAGAGATCCATGATTGATTGATTGACTGATTGATCGATCGATCGATGGATAGATAGATAGATAGATAGAGGAGGGAGAGATAAATAGAGAGATAAATAGAAAGGAGGGGTAGGTAGGTAGGTAGGTAGGCAGGCAGGCAGGCAGGCAGGCAGGTTGGCAGAGGAGGAAAAAGCAGGAAGAGATAGATAGATAGATAGATAGATAGATAGATAGATAGATAGATAGATAGATAGATAGATAGATAGATAGATAGATAGATAGATAGATGAAGAGGGAGAGAGAGATCCATGATTGATTGATTGATCGATGGATAGATAGATAGAGGAGGGAGAGATAAATAGAGAGATAAATAGAAAGGAGGGGTAGGTAGGTAGATAGAGGGAGGGAGAAGAGGGAGAAAGGAAGAGAGAATGAGATAGACAGATAGCTAGAGAGAGGGATAGAAAGATAGGAAGGAGGGATAGGTAGGTTGGTAGGTAGGTAGGTAGGTAGATAGAGGGAGAAGAGGGAGAGATAAATTGATTGATAGGAAGGATAGATAGATAGATAGATAGATAGATAGGAAGGAGGGATAGGTAGGTAGGTAGGTAGGTAGGGAAGCAAGAAGAGAGAGAGATAGAGAAATAGAGGGAAAGAGAAAAGGGAGATATAAAGAGAGAGGGGGGGAGGGAGAAAAGGGAGAGAGAAAGAGAGAAAGAGATAGACAGATAACTAGAGAGAGGGATAGAAAGATAGGAAGGAGGATTGGTTGGTAGGTAGGTAAGTAGGTAGGTAGGTAGAAAGATAGAGGGAGAAGAAGGATAGATAGATTGATAGGAAGGATAGATAGATAGATAGATAGATAGATAGATAGATAGATAGATAGATAGATGATAGATAGAGGGATAGATAGATAGAGGGATAGAGAGAGGAATAGATGGATAGATAGAGGGATAGAGAGAGAGATAGATAGATAGATAGATAGATAGATAGATAGAGGGAAAGGAAGATAGATAGATAGATAGATAGATAGATAGATAGATAGATAAGACAGACGATAGATAGATAGATAGATAGATAGATAGATAGATAGATAGATAGAGATACATAGAAGGAGGGATAGGTAGGTAGGTAGGTAGGTAGAGGGAGAAGAGGAAGAGATAGGTAAGTAGATAGATGGATGGATGGATGGAAGGAAGGAAGGAAGGAAGGAAGGGTAGATAGATGGAGAGAGGGATAGATAGGAAGGAGGGATAGGTAGGTAGGTAGTTTGATAGATGGAGGAGAGAGAGCTGGTGGGATGGGGGGCTCCGCCGTGCCCCCCACTGATTCCCCAGTTGTGTGGCCTCTTTGCAGCTGGAGGAGGAGCAGCAGGGCTTGCAGAAGAAGCTGAAGGGCACCGAGGATGAGGTGGAGAAGTACTCCGAGGCCGTCAAGGAAGCCCAGGAGAAGCTCGAGCTGGCCGAGAAGAAGGCCACCGACGTAAGCATTGGGTGGGTGGGTGGGGGGGGGAGGGGGGGGGCTGGCGATGGGTGGGAGTGGGGGGTGTGGGGTCGGGGGGGACCGGGCGGTAGGTGGGGGGTTGGGTGGGCTGTCGTGATATCGGGGGGAGCGTGCGGGGCGGTTCCCTCAGCTTGGGGGAGACGTAAGCATTGGGTGGGTGGGGGTGGGGGGGGGAGGTAGGGAGGGGGCTGCATTTGGGGGGGGGGTTCCAAGCCTTCCTCAGACCTAGAACACCAAACTCCCTCCAAAGTGTGCCAAAGAGAAAGAATGAGAACCTGGTCAAAGCTCTTCACGCTCTGCTTCCAGGGTTTCCTWTGGGATCCTCTCTGCCCAGGGATATAATGCTTCGAAACCGCATGGAATGCCCGGTGTGAATGCCTGGGACTGGGAGGGGTTGGGTGAGTTCGGATCCCTAAAAATACCGACGAAACCCGAGCCCGAAAACAAAGGAGAGCCTAAAAGGGAACCGAAGCTGCCACTTCTTGGGCCAGGGCCAGTTTGGAAGGCAAGGGAGAAGCTCAGGGTTGGGAGGAGGGGCCCCTCGAGGACATCCATCCGGTCCAATCCCCTTCTGGAACAGGCAGGGAGGCACTGCCCACTCCTCACCCCATCCCGACGGACGGCCATCCAAAAAACTGCACATCCCATCATTCCATAGTATTGAGGAGTCAGGACCAAGTGGTGGTGCCAAGCAGCCTGAGCTCTGCGAGTGCAGCATTCTTCCCAGAGTATACACCAAGCATGGGCCAACTTTTGCCCTCCCTCCAGGTGTTTTGGACTCCAACTCCCACCAGTCCATAGCATTGAGGAGTCAGGGCAGTTTGAGTGGTGCCAAGCAGCCTGAGCTCTGCAAGTGCAGCATTCTTCCCACAGTATACACCAAGTATACTCCACAGTATACGCCAAGGATGGGCCAACTTGGGCCCTCCCTCCAGGTGTTTTGGACTCCAACTCCCATCATTCCATAGCATTGAGGAGTCAGGGCAAACTGCAGCCTGAGCTCTGTGAGTGCAGCATTCTTCCCACAGTATACAGCAAGTATAGGTCCCAAGCAGCCTGAGCTCTGCGAGTGCAGCATTCTTCCCACAGTATACAGCAAGTATAGGTCCCAAGCAGTCTGAGCTCTGCGAGTGCAGCATTCTTCTCACAGTATACACCAAGTATACTCCACAATATACACCAAGCATGGGCCAACTTGGGCCCTCCCTCCAGATGTTTTGGACTAAAACTCCCACCATTCCATAGCATTGAGGAGTCAGGGCGAACTGCAGCCTGAGCTCTGCGAGTGCAGCATTCTTCCCAAAGTATACACCAAGCATGGGCCAACTTGGGCCCTCCCTCCAGGTGTTTTGGACTCCAACTCCCACCATTCCATACGCTGTTAGGAATGGTGGGAGTTGGAGTCCAAAACACCTGGAGGGAGGGCCCAAGTTGGGCCAGGCCTGGCATAAACGCATCCAAAGAAGGAAGATATTTCCTTATGCTTCCCTTTGAGCATTGGCTTGTTGACCTGCTTGGCTCTCATGTTGGAGTCCCAGTTCTTTTGGTGTGGAGTGATGTGATGCTCCTCCAAGAGACAAGGCTGAGATCTGGACCCCCGAGTCCCCCTCCCCAATTGGGACGCCTGCAGAGAGAGGCTGGGTCTGAGGAGAAAGGTTAGGTCTCCCTTGGTGGACATCTATCATGATAGTTTGGGTAGCATCTTCCTTCCTGCCTGGAAGAATGGGGTGGACTGGATGGTCTTTGGGGGTCTCTTCTAACTCTGGGACTCTGTTCGGGGCTGCTTCTCTCTCTCATTCTCTCCCCCTCCCTCCCTCCCTCCCTCCTTGGCCTCCCAGGCAGGCTGCAATCCTGGGCTGCCTTTGCTCATATTTGGCCATTCTCTGGGTTGAGGAGGAGGAGGAGGAGACTGGGCAGCTGGCCCTGGCTTTAGGGAGGGGCCGCTTGCTGCTGCTGCAAAGGAATCCTAAGAGGAGAGAGGGAGGGGGGAAAGGGGAAAGGGAGGGGGCCAGGGCCACAGCCGAGCCCCCTCCCCTTACACTCTGCTGCCCCAAATACAGTGGTTCTCAACCTTGCTAACGCTGTGACCCCTTAATGCAGTTCCATATGTTGTGGTGACCCCCAACCATAATATTGTTTTCGTTGCTACTTGATACTTGTCATTTTACTACTGTTATAAATCGTAATGTAAATATCCAATATGCAGGATGGATTTTCATTCACTGGACTAAATTGAGCACAAATACCCAATATGCCCAAATGTGAATGCTAGTGGGGTTGGGGGGGGGATTGATTTTGTAATTTGGGAGTTGTAGTTGCTGGGATTTATAGTTCACCTATAATCAAAGAGCTCCTGGTGCAGTGGATTGTTTTTGTTGATGTGAGCTTGTTGATCGAAAGGTCGCAGGTTCGATTCCGGGGAGCGGCGTGAGCTTCCACTGTCAGCCCTAGCTTTTGGCAACCTAGCAGTTCGAAAACATGCAAATGTGAGTAGATCAATAGGTACCACTCCTGGCGGGAAGATAACGGTGCTCCATGCAGTCATGCCGGCCACATGACCTTGGAGGTGTCTACGGACAACGCCGGCTCTTCAGCTTAGAAATTGAGATGAATAGCACTCCCTAGAGTCAGACCTTGACATTTGGGAGTTGTCGTTGCTGGGATTTATAGTTCACCTATAATCAAAGAGCATTCTGAACTCCACCAGCAATGGATTTGAACCAAACTTGGCACACAGAATGCCCACGACCAACAGAAAACACTGGAAAGGTTGGTGGGCATTGACCTTGAGTTTGGGAGTTGTAGTTCACCTATATCCAGAGGAGTGCTGTGGATTCATGCAATGATGGATCTGGACCAAACTGGCACGAATACTCAATATGCCCAAATGTGAACACTGGTGGGGTTTGGGGAAAATAGACGTTGACATTTTGGTAGTTGTTGGGATTTATAGTTCACCTACAGTCAAAGAGCATTCTGAACTCGACCAACAATAGAATTGGGTCTAACTCCCCACACAGAATCCCAATGATCAACAGAAAATACGATGGGTTGTTGTAGGTTTTTCCGGGCTATATGGCCATGTTCTAGAGGCAATTTTTCTCCTGACATTTCGCCTGCATCTATGGCAAGCAAGGTCACCTCACTACCTCTGAGGATGCTTGCCATTTTTCTCCTGACGTTTCGCCTGCGTCTATGGCAAGCTTTTGTAGTATTTTTGTAGTATGGAATGGCTTTTGTAGTATTGATGATGTTTTTTGATGATGATGTTTTTGGTTAATGCTGGACTGATTATTTTAGATTGTGTCTTGAATTTTGAACCTTGTTTTCTCTATGTTGTACACCGCTGTGAGTCGCCCTCGGGCTTGAGATACAGCGGTATATAAGCAAAGTAAATAAAACAAACAAATAAATAAATAAATAGATGCAGGCGAAACGTCAGGAGAAATGCCTCTAGAACATGGCCATATAGACCGAAAAAACCCACAAGAACTGAGTGATTCAGGCCATGAAAGCCTTCGACAATACAATACATGTTTTTATGTTACTTTGGAATTATGACAACCGCTCTCACCGTCCCCCTCAGGGTCGCCGACCCCCAGGTTTGAGAACCACTGCCCAAATACCTTCATAGTTGAAGTGTGAGCGGGAGCGAAGGTAGAGGTCGGGAGGGCTAGACATCGTGCATCGAATTGCCGTATGTACTATGATGGCTCTCGGAGCGATGAGTACTTCTTCATCGTTTGTGGTTTTTCGTGTCTTCTTAGAACTCCTACCCTGCATTAGTCCTTCTTGGGTCCGTAGCTCTTTTTTTTCGGTTTGGTTCTTGTATGTGTGTGCTAGGGGGCTACCCCTACTTTTCATTCACTGGACTAAATTGAGCACAAATACCCAATATGCCCAAATGTGAATGCTAGTGGGGTTTGGGGGGGAGGATTGATTTTGTAATTTGGGAGTTGTAATTGCTGGGATTTATAGTTCACCTGGAACCCCCGGTGGCGCAGTGGGTTAAAGCACTGAGCTGTTGAGCTTGTTGATTGAAAGGTCGCAGGTTCGATTCTGGGGAGCAGCGTGAGCTTCCGCTGTCAGCCCTAGCTTCTGCCAACCTAGCAGTTGGAAACATGCAAATGTGAGTAGATCAATAGGTACCACTCCGGCGGGAAGGTAACGGCACTCCATGCAGTCATGCCGGTCATATGACCTTGGAGGTGTCTATGGACAACGCTGGCTCTTCGGCTTAGAAATGGAGATGAGCACCACACCCCAGAGTCAGACATGACTGGACTTAATGTCAGGGGACTACCTTTACCTTTACTATAGTTCACCTATAATCAAAGAGCATTCTGAACTCCACTAGAGATGGATTTAAACCGAACTTGGCACGCAGAACTCCCATGACCAACAGAAAACACTGGAAAGGTTTGATGAGTATTGACCTTGAGTTTGGGAGTTGTAGTTCACCTATATCCAGAGGAGTGCTGTGGATTCATGCAACGATGGATCTGGACCAAACTCGGCACGAATACTCCATATGCCCAAAATGTGAACACTGGTGGGGTCTTGGGGAAAATAGACCTTGACATTTTGGTAGTTGTTGGGATTTATAGTTCACCTACAGTCAAAGAGCATTCTGAACTCGACCAACAATAGAATTGGGTCTAACTCCCCACACAGAATCCCAATGATCAACAGAAAATACGATGGGTTGTTGTAGGTTTTTCCGGGCTATATGGCCATGTTCTAGAGGCAATTTTTCTCCTGACATTTCGCCTGCATCTATGGCAAGCAAGGTCACCTCACTACCTCTGAGGATGCTTGCCATTTTTCTCCTGACGTTTCGCCTGCGTCTATGGCAAGCTTTTGTAGTATTTTTGTAGTATGGAATGGCTTTTGTAGTATTGATGATGTTTTTTGATGATGATGTTTTTGGTTAATGCTGGACTGATTATTTTAGATTGTGTCTTGAATTTTGAACCTTG